ACCAGGGCTCCTAGCAATAATTGTACTTAACACTGAATAGGTGCTAACCATTTGCCAGGAACTTTACGCACACTGCATTATCAAATCTTACTACAAGCCTATTTATGAAGCTACTTAAATAATACCAGCTTTGCAAGAGAAATGAGGACGCAAGAGGTTATATTCTTCCACCAGTGCCGTGTAGCTAATAAGTGGTAAGGCAGGAGTTAGAACACAGGGCTATCTCCAATATTTATGTTTTTAACTACTCTAGCTTAAGAATTTCAAACACAGGAATTTTAAACTGTACTGAAATTAATTTATAGAATCACTTTGACTTTGAACATTCAAGTCCAAATATATTTAGTTAGCATAGAATAGCTAGTGAAAGGTTGGCGCAGCACACTCTAGGTATGACAAAATCTAATAAGAATGCATTTAGAACATGCATCTTTGCTGTGTATGTTTCTAGAGCTGTGTGTGGGAGGAAAAAGTCTTAAATATAATGACTCCATGTTTAAAGTATCATTATCAGTATATTATTCTCCACAAGTCAAATAAGTCTGTTTACTCAAAAGCCTATAATAGAATATTGTAAAAGGAAAAGGTAAACTGAATTTTAGTGCCCCAAAGGAAATAATAAAATGATGAAAAACACAGAAAAGGAAAAAAGAAATCTGGGAGAATGTCATAGTAGGTACAAGGTACTAGATAAACTTTTAAAATTGTCTAGACATTTGTTTTCAAACGCAACATTTCATGAAATTCTCAAGATAAGCCCAAACATTGGGACAAACTCTTACTCTTAATCTGGAGAAAGGTGACAGCAAGAAAGTTTACTTGAGCCAGAGTCAAGGATATCAATGAAAAATGATATAAGAATTAATGAATGATCGACTGTGTTTCCCGAGATAAACTGCCTGAATTATATAACAAGCTAATTTGTGAAATAACTTAAATTTTATAAGATTTATCCCCTTGAAATTTCTTGAGTCTAAATAATTATTCACCAAAGCACCTATCTGAGCTTACACAGAAGTGTCCTTGGAGAAATAAAAAGATGAGTAGATAAGAGTCAGCAATCCTTTAATCAACACAACCATTAAGCAAAATTATTATAAATAACATACCCATTAAAAGATACAATTTGCAGTGGCAGAGGGGAGATCCCAGAGAAAAGAATATATTTCCAATCTAATTATGAGTTACCAGACATTTACAGTATTGCAGATATCTGTAAGTATATTTATATTTCATAGATTATACCTATGAAATATAGATATACAGATATAGATATATTTTATGTAGATAAATATATATACAGTTATAGATATAGATATGGATAGATTCTTTAGCAATTCATGTCTCTACCTCTCTATGACCCTGTTGTTCAGTAATGGTTGAGTATTAAGTGACTATTGCAAAGCAGGCTCAATGCCAAAGCCTATACAATCATTTTCTCATTTTATCCTCAAAATAAGTCTGTGAGTTAGTTACTATTAATATCACCATCACTTTACTGAATAAACAGAATCTTAGAAAGTTTATGCAGTGTGCATATGGGTATGGAGCTGCTAAACTACTGGAGCCAGTATTAGAACTCTGGGTATCCATGATTATACTGCTATTAGAAATGGGATCTCTGACATCCCAGAGTCAACTATGAACTTGACACAACTGACCAAACATTTCTCAAATGCAGAATGTACAAAACTAAATTCATCATTTTCCCCAAAACTTGTTACTACTCTTATTTCAATAAATAACACCACCGTCCAGCTCTAACAAAGACAGAAATTTGATTTCATCCTTTGTTTTTTCTCTCTGTCTTCCCATTGGCCCAGCCATATTAAATAGCAGTCCTAGCATGTGCCTTTGTCCACCATTAGCCTGTATCCCTTTTGAATAAGCAGTTCCCTCTTCCCAGGCACCTAGGAGCAACCTTATCGATTTGAAAAATGAAAGGTTTTCCTAAACTCCCTCTAGAAGCACAGTGACTTCTGATAAAAGTTCCTGGGAATAAATACCTGAAGGAATTAACAATCTTCAAGTAGGGTTGTCCTACAATTACCTGCTTTCCTGACCAGCTAAAATTTATACGGCTCAATACCCTTTGTTCACTTGTAACTCTCTGATTCAGGGAACTTGTAAATTTGACTGCCTCGGGGATTCTTGCCATCCCAAGCTAAGTAATTAGCTCCATTTAAGTTCCTTTTCAGTGCTTATGAGTCTTTGGAGCCAAGGAACACTATGTGCCTCCTCAGCAGATTGTGAGTTTGGCCTTTAGCCTCGGGCCTCAAAACACACCCTATCTGTGGGCTATCTCATATAATTACACCCTGTGCTATGAGCCCTTCTTTTATGGTTAGCAGCTGAGCATTTTAACCACTGCACCACCAGGGCTCCTTATGCAATGAACTACTGTTACATATTATCCTTCATCAAAACTAAGCAGTGGAACATTACAGCAACAACAAAGAATGATGGATTCAAGTTTGCCAAGTCTCCTAGTGACTCAGATTTAACTATCTGAGTTGGTTTGTTTTCAAACAGTTGAGTCTAGTTAGAAGGGAAAATTTATCCAGCCACAGTTGTGGGTTTGATTTCTGCATGAATCAATTCAATCAAGAAAAGAAACCTGTTCCATAAGTCCAGACTTTACTTTCAACATAGCCAGTGATCCTGCAAATATGTGTGGTTAATCACAGAAATTATGTATATATGTATGTGTGCATGTGTGGGTGCATGCATGTGTGTGTGTGTGTGTGTGTGTGTGTGTGTGACAGCGCAACCCAGCAGCCCTACAATGAAACCATTTAAAACACATTTTCTAAAGCTCAGTTGAGCATACGTGCTCTGGAGGTGGACTGTTTTGATTCATATCCTCTAAACAACTTATTGGTTGGGTGATCTTGGGCAGGTAATTTAATTCTGCTGAGACAAATTTTTACTGGCCTGTGAATTGGGGGTTATAATGGTACAGATTTCTTTCACTGTGCTGTGGAATTCAAAAGAAGCAATCAATGCAAAAGGAATAGCAAAATCCCTGCCACACAAAATTCACTCTGATGTACTGGTAAAGTACAGAAGTCTGCATATTTCCCATTTATTAAAATGTTCACTAATATCTGGAATCCATTACTCCTAATTAATACAACCTTTATTTCCATTATGTCTGTTTAATCCAGCAAAATGAGTTCAGAGTGCTACTATTTATCTACACACATTTGAAAAAAATCATTTAAATTCTCTGTATCTTAGTTTCCACAATGACACATATACTTAAAAGGTTCAACTTTATTGGATGAGAAGAATGAAATTCTTTGTAAGATTCAATTCCATTGCACTATCTCATGGAAGTGGATATTTATTATTAGTAACATTCTATGTAAGATGTTTTACAAAAGAAATTCAAGAGAAAATACATATTAAGGCTATAAGAAGTAAGTGCTTTCAACATTTTAAAATATTAATTTTGATCATTTCACAAAAAATGTCAATAAAAAAAATAGGTAGTGATGTGCAGTGAATTATTTAATATGGCTCTTCTAGCCATGGTCTTTCTGGCTCCCATGAGAGGACTGGGTGGAACTACATGCTTTGTCCCATCAGCGGGATTAGATAGCTTGCTAACAATATAAATAAGGTATGTTGCATCCTTGTGTAGGTCGGACCGTGTAAATAAGAATATGGAACGCTAATGTGGGGATTGGTCAGTTTTGCCATCCTGTTAGTCTTGAAATGAGCCATTCCAGAGGTAGAAAGGGGGAAATCTCACTGCCATCAAGAGACAAGAATCCAGAGTGGAGCAAGTCCTTGGAACTGAGATCCTACACCTGAAATGCAGAGAGATGGTGGCAGCAGAGGCAGCTGAACCAAGAGACCAGCAGAGTGAGCAGCAGGCTCCTTGGCCCACGAGCAAGAAAGCTGAGTGTCTTCCAGCAGAAGGTTTGCTGACGGAGTGGGGTGCCTCTCTGGGCACTTGTTCAGCAAAACTAAAAGAACTTTGTAACACTGGCCCAAGCAGGCCAGAGGCTTAGGCCAGAGACATGTGTACCTGCAGCATGACTGAGAATAAGCTGTCCTGATTGAAAAACTGTATCCTGAGTTTTTCTGATCCTGAATTATAACCTGTTACTTCCCTAATAAACTGCATAATCATGAATATTGTCTGTGAGTTCTGTGTGACTGTTGGCACAAATTTTCAAACGCAGAAGAGAAGTAGTGAGTGCTGAGGGAGGGACAGTTGGTTTCAGCATTGGTAACAAGATTTGAGGATGGTTCCATATCTGACCTCTGCCTGATAAAAACAAACCTTGGGCTGATGCTGCTGATGGTGTCCCTGTCTCCCTTTCATGAAGTCAGAGGAGGTCAGAGGACACCTCCCACATACCCTTGTTCCAGGTAGATAATCAAATTGCTAACCCATAAAATAGTTACAAACGTGAGTATAATGAATTGAGTGGTGTCCTCCTCAAAAGATATGTTGAAGTTCTCACCCCCAATATCTGTGAATGTGACCTCATTTCGAAACAGGGTTTTTGAAGATGTTATCTGTTGCGTTGGAATGAGAAAATACTGGAGTACGGTGGATCCTAATCATATATGATTGGTATTTTATAAAAAGGACAAAACACACAGACATAGGAAGACAGAGGAAGGATGTCATGTGATGCTGCAGCTACAAAAAAAGGAATGTTTGGAGTTACCAGAGGCAGAAGACAGACACGAAACAGTTCCTCTCTCAGAGCCCTCAGAAGTCAACAAAGCCTACTCTGATTTGGACTTGCAGCCCCTAGAACTGTGAGATTATAAATTTCTGTTCTTAAAAGTCACATGATATGCGATATTTTGTTACAGTAGCCCTAAGAAATGAGTATAATAAGTTCTTGTACAATTCATAAACTATGTGATTCAAACTTTATATTCAATTCTGCCTGCTTTATGACATAAAATACTCATGCCATTAAGTACACAGTGTTACAATAAATTATGTTTTTCATACTCTTCCATTATTTTACCTCCTTGTAGAGTCCAAGGTCAATATATCCACAAATTGGATGAAATGCTCCAGTTCCACACACATAAATGTGAGTTTTGTTGTAGGGTTGAAGTACTCGGATGAAATTTGCACATTCTGTCTATTGGACAAAAAAAAGAAAAGAATTAACATACAATTCAGCCTTTTGAAAAATTATTCACGTCACCTATTTTCCAGGTAGATCATCAAAAATAAGGGCAAATTTTTTTAAAAAAAATATGAGAAATGTTTAAACAACTCATTTAGCATAGGAGGCAAAACAAAGATAAAAATCATATCTAAAGGAACTGACTCTAAGCTTTTTTTTTTTTGAAGTTATAAAATTATTGAACTAATCATAGTGCTAGAATGAAAATCTCTACATTGATATTAAATGGAACACTGATAATGGATACAAACAATATAAATGAATCAGCCATACTTTCTTTCAAGGAATATCTAGAGAATAAAATCCATCATCATATTCTGATGTTCCCACATTATCTATCCCACTCCATCTCCTACTGTTTACCATGTCATCTGTCCCAGCTACACTGAACACAGATTGCATATAGATACATACTTCTATAGATGTGTTCTATTCTTATTGACTAGAACATTTTGTCACTTTACTTGCTTTATTTTCAAATATTTACACCTATTCCAATAAAAATGATCCAACAAAATGCAGAAATTATTGAACAATATCATTAATATGACATACAAGTAAAATTTTGCTGAAGATAATTCAAAAACAACTGCAGCAATACATAGAAACAGAAAGGGAACTGGTAGAAATTCAAGCCAGATTCAGAAGAGGACATGGAAGGAGGGACATCATTGCTGATGTCAGATGGATCTTGGCTAAATGCAAAGAATATGAAAAACATGTTTACCTGTGTTCTATTGACTATGCAAAGGCATTGATTGTTTGAATCATAACAAATTATGGGTAATATTGCCAAGAATGAGAATTCCAGAACACTTCATTGTACCTATGTGGAACTTATACATAGCCCAAGAGGCAGCCACCATTCAAACATCAAAAGGGGATACTGCATGGCTTAAAATCAGGAAAGGTTTGTGTCCGTGTTATATCCTTTAATCCTTTCAATTACTCAATTTGTATGTTGAGCAAATAATCCAAGAAGCTGGGCTATTTGAAGAAGACCATGTCATCAGGATTGGAGGAAGACTTACTAACAATCTGTGATGACACAACCTTGCTTATTAGAAGCGAAGAGAACTTGATGCATTTACTGATGAAGTTAGGAGACTGCAGCCTTCAGTACAGATTTTACCTCAACATAAAGAAAACAAAATGCTCACAACTGGACAAATAGGCATCATCATGATAACTGGAAAAAATATTGATATTGTTAAGTATTTCATTTTACTTGGATCCACAGTCAACGCACATGGAAACAGCAGCCAAGAAATCAAAGGATGTGCTGCATTGGAGAAATTTGCTGCAAAAGAATTCTTCAAAGTGTTAAAGAGCAAAGATGTCACTTTGAGGGCTAAGGTGTACTTGACCCAAGCCATTGTATTTTCAATTACTTCATGTGCATAGAAATCTGGACAATGAATAAAGAAGACTGAAGAAGAATTGATGCCTTTGAATTATGGTGTTGGCCAAGAATACTGAATACAGCATGAACTTCCAGAAGAACAAACAAATCTGTCTTGGAAAAAAGTACAGCAGAATGCTCCTTAGAAGAGAGGATGAGAAGACTTGCCTCCTGTGCCTTAGACATGTCCCTGGAGAGGGACACCATGCTTGGTAAAACAGAGGGTTAGTGAAAAATAGGAAGACCCTCAAGGAGATGGGTTGACACAGTGACTGCAACTAAGGCTCAAGCACAGCAATATTGTGAAGAAGGCCCAGGTCTGAGGAGTGTTTCTTTCTGTTGCATACAGGGTCACTATGCGTTGGAAGGGACTCTACAGCACTCAGCAATAACATTTTCAACTATTGAAGAGTCTTTAGATTCAACTAAATTCCTGTTTCTTTCCAGACCCTCTTCTGTTTCTCCCATGAGTATTTTTTATATCGAATTAGATTTTTGAAGGGATTCATACATTTTTGCTTATTTTACATAAAAACATTTCTTTGATGTCTCCTTGTACTTATAGGTTCTTTTCTACTCCTCCCTTTACTATTAATCAGTAGCTCTCTATTTTTCCAGGCATTAATTCTTGTAATTATATATTACTTTTAATATGAAAAAAGATCCTCTATAATTACATCATTTTGGGAAGCAATTTCTTAACCATGGCTTCCTGATTCCTGTTGTCAAAAGCCCCTGAGAAAACACTGGGCAGAACACACTTTTATGCTAGAGTGTTTCCACCCAGGAAAGAGGCATGTGCATACTAAAAAAAAAAAAAAGGAAATCTATCATACTTCTGGGATTCATGGAAATATCCAGTCTCCCTTTGCCTGAGTGTCCATGAGTTCCTCATCAGACAGTTGGGTTGTAAGGAGGAAAATATATAGACAATGATATAACTAGCAGAGTAGTTCTTAAAGTTAAATAAAATTTTATAAAGATAGTGACTTGACTGATATAATTTTTATGTGGATTAAATGAAATAATGTAACACTTAACAACTGTTAATTCCTTACCTTGATTTTGACCTATACAAAATATCAAAATTCCAATGCCTGCTCTGACTTTACAGTGAATAGCTATGTCTGCATATTTGTTGTTTCAGAGATCCTAGTTTCTAGTTCTTCTTTTACCTAGCTAGCCTGGCTATTTTATGTTCTTAGAATTTTTAGATCCCAGAGAATAAAGTTTGCATATTACATTAAGCAAAATGTTACATCAAACTTAGTTTTCTGCTGTCTTCTTCCTTGTATACAAAGCAGTTGATTATGATTGTTTGGAAAACCAGTGTTGGTCAATAAATCATCTCTTAGTTAACCACACAGGCTAAGGATGTTTATTCATCAGGTAGGAAGACTCATCACTCTCTAATAGGAACAGCGTCACTGGGGTTGGTTGCTTAGGTTTTACGCTGCAAAATAGTGTTACATTTAATTATGTGCAAATCATATTGCAGATGTCTTCATTATTGTGAGTATTTTTCATATGCTTATTATACCTTTTCATATGTTTATTATATGAAAACTCCTAAGAAAGGAAAAACATCCCTGTGTGGTACAAATTGTTTGAGCTTCCCTCCTAACTTAAAGGAGCACCTCAGATAAAAAGCCCTGGTAATCTGTTTCTCTAAGAGATTACAGCCTATGGGACACTTCTCTGTAACACATGGGGTCTTTATGAGTCAGAATTTACTATATGGTGATGGACTTGGGGTTTTTTTGATAAGAAAGGAAATCTTTATATTCCTTAAGATATTTCTGACAGTCTTGCTTAACAAATTCACATTATTTCATTTTTCCATCTTTACACCAAAATATCTCAATTAAGAGATTTTTTTTTTTTAATTTGTGCAAAGGTATCATAGTGCATTAGTTTCATGTTCTTTAAAGTCATGTGGTACAATCTCAAAAATTTAATTCCAGCTGTTCGTATGGTACACTGAAAGGTTTGAACAAACAATGGAGATACTGTAATATGAGATCATCAGAAAATTCTAATGATTGTCTCAATTTTAAAGTGAGTAGTTTTAATATTTTCTAAATAATATTTTGCTTACAATAGCTCACTGAAAGAGTTTCTATTTCTTGGTCATTACCTCTTAAAAAATATTCATGTAATGATGAAATCTACATAAGGAACAGTGCTTAGAAGGGCAAGGTAGAAAGACATAGATAGAATGAAGTGGAATTGAAAACTCTGGACTTGTGAAGTGTGCCCATGGGTGCCAGAAATCTCAGTAGACATGGCTCCCAACGTTCCAGCTGATGAACTGACCCAAGAGTATCCTAAAGGCATCTAGGCCATGCTGCTGGGGCCACCCAGAGCTGGCAAGGTACCCAGGCATCCAAATTGGCTGAAAATTTCCGAGTCTACCATTTGGCTGCTGGTGACATGCTGACCGTCATGGTGGTGGCTTCCGGCTGAGAGCCAGGAAAAAAGAGGAAGGCAATAATGGATGCAGGGAAACTGGTAAGTGATGAAATGGTAGAGGAACTCATTGGGAAGAATTTGGAGATCCCTTCATGCAAGAGTGGTTTTCTCCTGGCCTGTGAGGCAAGCAGAAATGCTGGACAGCTCATGGAGAAAAGGAAAGAGAAGCTGGATTCTGCGATTGAATTCAGTATCCCAGACTCTCTGCTCATACAGAGAATCACAGGAAGTCCGATTCACACCATGAGTGGTCATTCCTACCACAAGGAGTTCAACCCTGCAAAGGAACCCATGAAAGATGATATCACTGGGGATCCTTTGGTCCACCTATCAGATGATAATGAGAAGGCCTTGAAAATCCGCCTGGAGGTCCACCATACTCAGATCATGCCACCGGTGGAGTACTACTGGAAACAGGGAGTCCACTGTGCCATCAGTGCTTCACAGATCCCTGATGTGTTTGCTAGCATCCTAGCAGCCTTCTCCAAAGCCACATCCTAGTAGCACAAGACCAGGCAAGACTGCACCATTCGTCATCACTCTGTGGAGTGCTTGCTCTTAGGGTCAGGGGCTCAAGAGGAGTGTTTGGAAAAGCAACACTGTTACTGTAATGAGGTGGTATCTTTTTCACATAGGTGACAGGCTTTATAAGTAAAAGAAAAAAATGAAAAGAAAAAAACTATGATTGGAGGGTGTGGGTAGAAATAGAGAGACACAATATTATAATTTCTACAGAATTGGGATTTCATTTACTCGGTACTGGTGACAATATTTTTTAAAACGAGTGCCCTACAACCTCAGGAGCTCTGGTGGCATACTGCCTAAGGCACTTGATTGTTAACCAGAAGGTTGGTGGTTCAAACCCACCAGCCACTCCTCGGAAGGAAGATCAGGCAGTCTACTACCACAGTGATACCACCTCAGAAAACCAAGGAGGGGTCGCTATGAGTTGGAGATGACTCCACGGCACAGAACAACTATAACCTCAGCTTTTATCTCAGTACCTCATGGGTTGCCAGCCCAATGCAGGAAATTTGACTCTTGTACTGTCTGTCCTATAGTTGGTATCGGGAGACTT